CCAAAAACACATGTGATGAAAAGGATCGGGATGTCTATTAAAAAACAAAAAAGGATCGCTAGTGCTACAAATACTTTATTGTACTGAGATTGTTTTGGTTCAGATTACAAAAACATGCACACAGGAATTTAGTAGAAAGTAATATAAAATAAACCATACTAAATTATGACATTACAGTTCCAACACATTTCAAGATTCCTTGAAAGGCACACAGAAATATGAAAATGTATATTATAAAAAAGAGATATGTATACTTACCATGGGTTTATACACTTATAACCTTGAATGGGCGCTGGGTTATTATATTATATAAAAAGCAATTTTTATTTCTATTTTGTATGTATACTACATAATATAGTTATAGAAAAAACATTGATAAAAATACGCATTTACATCAGCAATTATGTAAATCACACACACACACACACACAAACACACACACACACACACACACACACACACACACAAGACATCAAGGCAATATTCCAAAGTACAGGTTAGCAGAATAGTTTCACAACCATATAATAAAAATTGGCAGTAACAGGGGCGGTATTTATCAAAATACTATTTTACTGAGTGCTACACTTAAATCCCACCCTATATCACTCCGCTGAGCGAAGTACTTAAGTGGTATCTATGAAAAGTCTGAGTGCTCCGCTAAACGAAGTATTTATTTCCCTCTAATGCTGATGTATTAGACATTTATTCAAACTACTTCAAGCAAATTATTTTAAACCGCAAAAGCAAAAAATAATTCTTTCTGCGAAAATTAATAGCAATCATCACAATAATTCACACTGATCATGTCGGTCACATATATTAATCCTTCTCGATCTAATCTGAACCGTTTCTTCAACTCGTGATAACTATAACTGTTCAGCACATCTTTTCTTATCCGGAACTGCTTCACACTCCGTAGCTTCACTCGATGTTGTGCTGCATCTAGTGCTGGACTAAAGTGCGGCACGTGCTGAGTGTCCTCCCGTAGGACACTTAGCCGCATCGTCCAGTTGAGTGCACTTAGGGACGCTTAGTAGTTTGATGAATAAGACTTAGGTAAACTACTCAAAATCAAGACAACATCATCAGCAGAGCCAAGATCGGAAACTTTGATATTGCCCAGTCTCCATAATGACTTTGGACAATGCAAGTGTTGGTGTAAGAACACAGCCTTACCTTACTCCTGAACTAACAGGGAAGTTCGACAGGCCCTCACCAAACTTGCAATATTTTCAGTGCCAGTACACAGGCTTGCTATTAATCCAATAATCCTTGTTGGGATTCCTCTTAATCTCAGGTTCTCTTAGTTATTTCCAATGCACCATATCGAATGCCTTCTTAAAGTCTATATAAGTTGCAAGCAGCTCATACTCGAACTCACAACGGCGTTCTACAATGATTTGAAACATCTCGATAGTCTATTGGTCTTAGTAGGAGTGAATCCTGATTGCCAGGCCTCTGCTGCCTCAGCAGGTAACATCTGATACATCTCAGAAGGGTGTGGGCGAGAACCTTGCCTGGTATACTGATCAGTGTAATGCCTTGGTGATTGCTGCAATCTTATTGATCCCCTTCCCCCTTCCAAAGGGGGATTATCATACCCCTCAACAGGTTAGGGGAAATGGTACCAGATCGTCGGATGGCAGCCAGGGCAGCATGCCAACTCATGCGCCATAGATTCGCCCTCAGCTTTTAACAGTACAACTGGGATGCATCAGATGCTGCTTATTATCCCCTAACTTCAATTAGGGCGGGTGGATCCTTGCTGATGGATGAGTCCAGCAAAGGGATCTCGTCTGTTGGTGGATCAACCTGGTGCAGCTGTTCAAAATACTCAGCCTAATGCTTCCACACCCAAATAAGATCTGAGATGATCTGGCCACATGAGTGGATTGCAGCCGGTTGTGAGTAAGGCTTGGATTTCAGCTTTCTCGTGGCTTGGTAGGCAGGACGAAGGTCATTTACTAAGAAATAGCCTTAAGCCTCCTCTGCAAGACTGCTGATGAACTGTTCCTTGTCCCTTCATAGCAGTGTGATTGAGTCGTTTGCAAACAGCCCATACCCGAAATGGATCCCAAGTCAGACAAACCACACAAGTATCTATGTCTTCCAGATAATATTCTATCTTGCTCTTGGCGTTTCCCAGTTACTTCTTAAGTTGCATCAAGCATTTCAGGCTTGAAAGTGTCCCACAGAAGTATAGCATAAGTCAGGTTGCCGAGTGCTGTGGAACGACTCCACAAACCCCCGGGCACACTCCCCATTCCTCAACCTGTCCACATGAAACACCCTCAGGTGATCATTGGGCTGACAGAGTGTTTTGAAGTAGACTTGGAGGGTAACCACAACTAATTTATGATCAGTACCACAGAACTCAGCACTCTAATATTCCCTGCTGTTCTGGAGGATCATTCAGCAAGTGCCAACGAGGATGGGGTTGACCTCCTTGACACACGTTACCGACATCATTGTACCTTCTCCAACGATGCAGGTCAAAATGCTAATACCATGAGTCAGAAATTCTTAACATCTGAGACCTGGTGAAGTCCTGGAGTCATGAGGACCGACAGACATCTCTCAGCCCGATCGCAGCCAAATACTGCACTGCAATACGGATATAATGTTGAGGAAAACTGTCCATCACAGATGCGAATTTGGCATAAAATATCTCTTTCACGTCAAATTTAAAAACATCAGTAGAGTATACACATACATTACAAACATGGAAGCAAATGCACGATTCAGTCTCAATATCATTATAAGCTCATTGACTGGAGAAGCATCTAATACCAAGGGCTGAAGTCCACTAGAGATTGGTATGGCTGCTCCCTGAAGATGGTGACCATCGCTCTGGCCCAACAAGTAATAGGTGTAGCCACCCACACTGATTGTGCCACTGCTAGGTCTCCATATTTCCGAGAAAGCAGCCACCTCATCTCTCAGCTACTTCAGTTCCAAACCAATCTTCCTGTCGCACTCATCCCAACGGCCCACTTCAGGTTAAAATTTCGACAGACACTCCAGTTGGACGCCACCTCCGCCGACGTTGCCCCATATAGTGAGTACTGGCTGGCTGCAGATCCCATAATCTATCAGTGGGGGTACCGTAGTCTTTACCCTACAAGCCTCATGCCAGGTTAGCGGCAAATGAGACGTGGATGGTATGGGTAATGCCAGCTACAGTCCGAGTCCAAGCAGTCACCAACCAAGAGAGACTCACAACCTGCTTCTCTTGCTGGGTAGGAGGGACATTTGCCCTCCCTCCAGCGCCATTATTTATACGAATTGCTGCTAGTTAGGTTTTCTTGGAGAGGCTGACTGGTAAGGCTAATCTCCCCACATCCACCCATTAACCCCAGGAAGAGGGAGACAGTAGTTAGAATAAAGCTATGATTTCTTACGTTTAGGGCCTCCTAAGGCTCCAAGAGCCAGTACCCCTGCTTTTCTTTCTACATTTACGGCATTGGGAGCATTTAGAGTTGCGACTTTTTTTGTTAGGGACTGGTCTGGCAGGCCACCACATGACTGGCAATTGAGTTTACTCTGTTAACTATGATTAGTCAGGTAGGATTCCCTCCCTTCCTTATCAATGCCTTCAGCTTATTCAGTCATATTAGCATGGGCTTGCCCCATTATCCCACCCATGCCATGATTCATGGGTCGTCATTACCATTTACTGAAGTACTCGCTTCTGGTAAGGTGGCTCTTCAGGAAATTTGCCAACACAGATGTGGTATCCTCTGAAAAACCATGAGCCTCATCTCAGGCGAGCCGATCTCTGGGTGGCCCGATTTCCCTCCCGTTGAGGTGGCCTCTTCCACTTGTTGGTTTCCTGGGAAGGAAAAAATAGGTGGCAACTTCTCTCTGTTGCAGGACCTTGAGTACTTCTTACAGTTGATCAGGTCTGTGGAAGAGCCCACCTCTTTAGAAGTGGTTGTCCTAAAATATATCTATATTGAGGTGACATCCACCTTGAGCTCCCTCCCTCCACCAGGTAAGCCGGCCTTAAAGTTACCCCAACTCTCTCCCATTGAGGTGGCCTCCCTCACTGACCAGTTACCTGGGATGAGTTGAGCAAATGGTTCGTACAAATGATACCTATCCTGAAGTTGGGATTGTATCCCCTCTGGCCTCCCCTTGAGGGTTCTTTCATCTACGTTTGTCGTGCGCGGCACCCTTGTGTGCTGTGGAGATGGGACTCCTAGAGGTTGGCCCCTTATTCGTGCAAGACAGGAATCCTAGCCTCGTTAGGTCAATCAGCTGGTCTGCCATGGGAGGCTAGAACCAAGTAGTTGGCCTCACGTATGTCCCATGGGCGCCATCTAGAATAACCTGTGGCTGTGGCACTCCTGCAGCTGTTAGAGAATGTGCTCTAACACACAACTCCACCTTGCTGAACTCCATGGTGGGTGAGGGCGTGAGAGGCTGGAGGAAGTGCTATGACATATGGTAAACAAAACTAATTAATAGTAAAAAAATAAATAAATTAAAAGAGAGAAAAAAACATGATCTGACCTAAATGTTGACAAACCTTGCAATGAAAAAACAATGCAATCACTTTCAAGTATTATATGCCTCAATGCCTCCTAGTGGCATAAAAAGGAAAGAACATGCTGAATCTGTAAGAAATCATCAGCAAAACAGAAGTCTGTCTATGAAACAGATGGACTCGAGGGCCGGCCTCTCCAGGCCTGCACATAAAAGAGGGAGATCTCTGATTCCCTTCAGAGATGCAGCTGAAGTAGCTGCCCCACGACTAAAGCCCCGAACCTAAGTTGAAGGGGCAGGGGGAAACGATCAGGTAAGAGACAAACTCTAAGTGTGAGTCTAGAGCGCCTGAGCGTGTCCCATACTTCAAGGTATAAGACTTTGACAATGCCTACTAATTGGTGAGAACATTGGAGATGCAGAGGCAAATCCGGTTAACAATCCGGGTTTCTAGAGGCTAGGGCATGATCAGGGTCCAATGACCTGGCGAGCAGGACCAGAGGCCTACCCAT